AAAAAAAAAAAAAAAAAAAAAGTAACCAAGATGCCCAGGCTGAGACAGTTGCCGTATAAAACAGGAAGAGTCAGTCCCGAAAGATGTTTCTTGTCAGAAGAACTCGCCGCGTGCCTTCACCGAAGGCAGTCAAGTCTGCAGTTGGATTTTTCTCACTGGTGAATGACAAGAAACGGGGATGATTTTGCACTGCGGTGATATTACAGGAGTTGTCTATACGATTACAGCACCTGATTCTGTGAACGTATCGTTGAACTCTAAAATGAATTCGACCTCTATTCAGGCTTAATGAAATCTCTGATGTTGCTGAAATTTGTATATTATTTTCCTTTTCCAATGCAAGACCTGCTGGTGACAGGAAATGACTGTCTGGTTTTATTATGGTTTATACATTAATAAATGGGCTATTTAATTCTGTATATACATTTACAGCAAGTACAAAAAAAAAAAAAAAAAAACCAAGATGTCAGGACGGGGCGATGTTCACAGTCAGTAAAGGGGCCTAGCTCCAACATTCACAGGGGACCAGCCAAGAGCCGTTCAGCTGGGGTACCTGAGAAAAATAGGGTCCTGCCACCCAGAGCAACAACTATTCTCTTTAGTAAGTGCTTGGAACTGTTTCCAGTTGTCAAGAGCCTTTCTGGCAGAAGGAGTGATCTGAAAAAGCCAACACATGAGAAATATGTTGAGAGAGTCAAGGGCCGTGACATCATCAGCATCAGCGCTGATGGATCCCACAACTGTGAAGAGGAAGGCTCCTTACCTTATGTCTGTATAAGTCCTCTACCTACCACCACAGCTCTTGCATGTCTTGAATCATTTTCTTTTCCTTGTTTTCTTTCTTCTTTTTTTTTTTTTGAAATGGAGTTTCACTCTTGTTGCCCAGGCTGGAGTGCAATGGCGCAATCTTGGCTCACCACAACCTCTCTGCCCCCCAGATTCAAGCGATTCTCCTGCCTCAGCCCCCCAAGTAGCTCAAGCGATTCTCCTGCCTCAGCCTCCCAAGTAGCTGGGATTATAGGCATGTGCCACCACACCCAGCTAATTTTGTATTTTTAGTAGAGATGGGAGTTTCTCCATGTTGGCCAGGCTTGTCTCAAACTCCTGACTTCAGGTGATCCGCCCAGCCTCCCAAAGTGCTGGGATTGTAGGTGTGAGCCACCAAGTGTCTTGAATCATTTTCTTATGGTTTAGAATCACATTTGTCATATAAAGCACCATTTTCGGTATGATTTTAAGTAATCTGCCATGTTCCTGTTACCCTCACAACTATATCCTTACATAATCTATCTACAATGTATCTATACACAGAAAATATATTTCACATAGTTGTAAAAGTACAATATGATCAAAACTGTTGCTATAATGATTCCTTCTCTTTTACTTAATGCTTGCTGGGTTCTGACAATTCCTTACTCATTCTCAGTGTGTCCCTAATTCATCCTTTACTGGGCATCTTTTGTCAGTCATAAAGCTCTATTCTCCTTGTGTTAATATCCTTGCCATCTTTCACAGGGCAAAACCAGCTGGGCTTATAAACAGGCACAGTCCTTTTGAAGCATGTGGTCAATCGTACAACAACATGCTTTCCTAAGGATGATGACAGTTCACACCACCCCTGGAACGGCTGGTATGAACCTAGTTTCCACAGTCTGGCCGGCATTGGGATCAGATGTTTCGCTACTTCACATGTTTTAGTCACTGGTAAATCTTAAGGTACTTTGTTTTCTCTTGTGCGAATTCTCTCTCTCTCTCTAGATACCTCTTCTGACCATTTGTTTGTATTTCTGTGTTAACTGGGTCTAAACATTAACAAATGTTAAAAACAAAACACTCCAACAGGGGTTTCCCAAGAGGCTGGTGTTCAGTTTCTGAACTCACTTGTATGTCTTTTTTCCATAAACAATTTTATGTTTTCCTCCGCCTCTGACAGCTGCCTCTACTTTTCTGCTTGCTCACCTTCTTTCATTCCCAGCTTCCTGAAATGAGATGGGAGAGAAATGCATGCACATGAACCACTAGCCCAGCTTGAGATTCTTTCTTCCCTTCCAGCATCTGAAGGCCATGATTCAAAGGTCCTCAGACAACCTTCCCAAAAACGAATCAACTGGAGGGAGAACTGATACCTCCCATTGAGGGACAAAGAAAAACTGTAC